CGCATCTTTGACATCTTTTTGGGCAGTCTATGTTTCAAAGTTAATTGATAACTTCGCAAGTATGAAGAGGCACAAACACAGCCATGCAGTCAGTCCTTAGACAATAATAGACAATAATAACGAAGTCTGCCTTTCATACAAGTGTGGTTGATGCAAAAGTTATAAAGGTATGCACATCTTTGGTGCAGCAATTTTAAACTCGAAAAGAAAAGCTAGTGGGTCTGCGGACACCCATGACAAGAGGAGGAGGGGGTGCAGTTTCAGCCCTAGCAAAAAAGAAAAATCTCCACTACCTGCTCAAAATGTGGCATTTTCATCTGTAAAGCTCAACTTCAGACAACAGCAAAAGAGGCAAAACGAGTGGGTCTTGAGGTCAACATTAAAAAGAAGGAAGCAACCAAGAACTTGCCGGGCCAGAGACGCCGATCCACCTACATCAATTCATCGAACTCGACGGACAAAAACTCGAATGGACAAAAGACTTCAATTATCTTGGCTCTGCCATTGCATCGAGCGAAACAGACATCAGAGCACGAAAAGGACAAGTGTGGGGACCATTCTGGAAAATGAAGGATGTATTTCTGTCAAAAACTCCTCCAATCAAACTCAAACTAAACATCTTTGAAGCAGCGTGCATTTCCATCCTCCTGTACGGCTGCGAAAGTTGGATTATCAACCAGAAAATGCAAAACTCACTCAACAGCTTCGCTACCAGTTGCTACAGAATCTTGGCATAAAGAAGATGGATCGAATAAGTAACCAAGCTGTATACAAAGCAGTCGAAAAGAACCAGCTTATCCTTCAAATCCAAGGCAGCTACACTTTGTCGGCCACTCACTTAGAAGAGACCCAAATGACCAAATTAACAAATATGTGTTATATGCACCCAAAGAATGACATGGCAAACGAAGCCGAGGAAAGCTACGCACATTATACCAAACATACATCAGCAAACTAATCAACAATGACATGCCACCACCAACAGCTGACGAGATGCGAAGAGCTGCTAGTAATCGAACAGAGTGGAGAAAACTTGTGACCGACTGCAAAGCCGTTTTGTTCGCAGCCGATTGATGGTGATTACATCTGTAAGGAGCATGCATTGCAATTCTGCAGCTCCTGCAAATGAGCTGAAGAATGACCCCATTTTGTTTTGAAGTTTTGATAGGTTTTATGTTTATAGAATACTTTTTTTTTTAGAGAATTCATGTTCATGGCATATTCAAGACTGTGATAATCCAAAGTCAAGGGTTTCTCTTTGCATTTAGTTTACTGAAAATTTTTGTTTTTTCCTCTTATACTAATCGATGGTTTCGCCACCAAAACTGGTAATTAAAGGGTTAAAATCCTGAAATTGATTAAATTTTTGGTAGTTATGATGAGGACTGATGCTGATTAAAAGATTTAACTTGGTAAAAGTGGAAAATAATAATAATATATAATATTTTAGGCAATATTTAATATGTGGCCATTTTTGGTCTGTAACGCGCCAAGTGTCGGTTTTTTTTTTTTAAATCTGGCATAACACAAAATTTTTAAATGCACCAGAAATAATGTTGCTGCTGATCTTTGGCATATTCAAGACTGCGATAATCCAAATCTAAAGTTTTCTCTTTGCATTTAGTTTATTGAAAATAATTGAATTTTTGTGTTTTTTCCTCTTATACAAATCGATGGTTTCGCCACCAAAACTGGTAATTAAAGGGTTAAAATCCTGAAATGGAATAAATTGTTGGTAGTTATGATGAGGACTGATGCTGATTAAAAGATTTAACTTGGTAAAAGTGGAAAATAATAATAATAAATAATATTTTAGGCAATATTTAATATGTGGCCATTTTTGGTCTCTAACGCGCTAAGTGTCGTTTGTTGTTTTTTAAATCTGGCATAACACAGAATCTTTAAATGCACCAGAAATAATGTTGCTGCTGATCTTTGACATATTCAAGACTGTGATAATCCAAATCTAAAGTTTTCTCTTTGCATTTAGTTTATTGAAAATAATTGAATTTGTGTTTTTTCCTCTTATACAAATCGATGGTTTCGCCACCAAAACTGGTAATTAAAGGGTTAAAATCCTGAAATGGAATAAATTTTTGGTAGTTATGATGAGGACTGATGCTGATTAAAAGATTTAACTTGGTAAAAGTGGAAAATAATAAAAATATATAATATTTTAGGCAGTGTTTAATATGTGGCCATTTTTGGCCCTTAATGAACTCAACGGTGTTAAAAATCTAATGCAGCACAAGGGTTAAACATGCTTCAGATCCATAATAAGTGGCCATTTTAAAATAAGCAGAAGTATGGAGCGTAAAGACCGCCCGACCCAAAGCAGTACACAACCCACACCAAAGATATTAAACGGTTTATTCTTGCATCTAGTAAAAACCTCTTTACATGTGGATGTGAACAGATGCCATGCTGAGGTTCAGGAGTGCGTCGACCCTGATGGAAGGATTGTGTTGATCAAGACCTCTCCAGAACAGTGTTTGCCTCAAGCATTGCCTAAGACATGTCCTTCATGCAGCAATTTCACATTTACATGCGAGTATTACTGTCCCGACACTATGGAAGCTTGTTTCCGCCACTGAATAAAAAAAAAAAACTAAAATAATTGCGATTTTATATCTCACATTTGCGAGATATGAAGTCAGAATTGTGAGAAATAGTCGCAATTGCGAGATATAAAGTCAGAATTGCGAGACATAAAGTCAGAATTGTGAGAAATAGTCGCAATTGCGAGATATAAAGTCAGAATTGCGAGATATAAAGTCAAAATTGCGTGATAGTCAGAATTGCGAGATATAAAGTTAGAATTGTGTGATATAAAGTCAGAATTACGAGATATAAAGTCAAAATTGCAAAATAAAGTCAGAATTGCGAGATATAGTCAGAATTGTGAGATATAAAGTCAGAATTGCGAGATATAAAGTCAGAATTGCGAGATATGAAGTCAGAATTGCGAAACAAAGTCAGAATTGGGTGATAGTCAGAATTGCGACATATAAAGTCGCAATTGCGAGATATAGTCAGAATTGCGAGATATAAAGTCAGAATTGCGTGATATAAAGTCGGAATTGCGAGATGGTCAGAATTGCGTGATATAAAGTCGGAATTGCGAAATAAAGTCAGAATTGGGTGATATAAAGTCGGAATTGCGAGATGGTCAGAATTGCGTGATATAAAGTCGGAATTGCGAAATAAAGTCAGAATTGCGAGATATAAAGTCAGAATTGCGTGATATAAAGTCGGAATTGCGAGATGGTCAGAATTGCGTGATATAAAGTCGGAATTGCGAAATAAAGTCAGAATTGCGAGATATAAAGTCAGAATTGCGAGATATGAAGTCAGAATTGCGAAACAAAGTCAGAATTGGGTGATAGTCAGAATTGCGACATATAAAGTCAGAATTGCGTGATATAAAGTCGGAATTGCGAGATGGTCAGAATTGCGTGATATAAAGTCAGAATTGCGAAATAAAGTCAGAATTGCGAGATATAAAGTCGCAATTGCGTGATATAAAGTCGGAATTGCGAGATGGTCAGAATTGCGAGATATAAAGTCAGAATTGCGAGATATAAAGTCGCAATTGCGAGATAAAGTCAGAATTGGGTGATATAAAGTCGCAATTCTGAGAAAAAAAAGACAGAAGTGCGACTTTTTATCTCACAATTCTTACTTTTTTCCTCACAATTGCGAGTGTACATCTCGCAATTCTGACTTTATAACACATAATTGTGAGTTTGTAGAAATTCTGACATCTTTTCTCAGAATTGTGAGATATAAACTTGCAATTGTGACTTATCAGGCCAATTCTAAGAGGAAAAAAAGACTAACTTTTTTCCCCTCATAATAGTTTAAAATCTCACAATTCTGACTTTATAACACGCAATTCCGACTTTATATCTCGCAATTGTGAGATAAAGTCATAATTGCCTTTTTTATTTTTCATTCTGTGGTGGGAACAAGCTTCCATAAGACACTGAACACACACACGACTGGGATTTACACAAGAATGAAACTGTAGCGCAGTCTCTAAAAGGGGCGGGAACAACAAATCAGCTGACTAAACACTAGCGGGATCCTAATTATAAATAAAACAGTGAAGTTTTAGGACATGTATTGTTCCCGGGTAAAGATAACCCTTTTTTATTTGTTCATATTTAATTAATTATGCCATAACTAAACCCTCAATCATGTCCATGTGCTTTAGATAAATTACTAGTGTCAAATTCAAATCAAAAGTGAATTACTGGAACAAATTGCAAGATGATATTTCACACAAGATCCAAAATTCAAAGTGTTTCGGTTCTTACAGACTTTAATATATAATCTGAAAAAAAAAAAAAAAAAGTTTTTCATTATCAACTTGCCCAAATATCCCAACAATTTAAACAAACATTTAAGCAGTGATGTCATAACCACAACCAGATCTGAAGCGAACGGGCCAGTTAAAATATCAAATCTTCCAACTTTAGTGACACAAATCCATAAAACCGCGAGGACAACGTAAAGATGTCAGAAGCCAAACAGAGCCGATTAGAAAATGAAACGGTGACATTGTGAGTGCTCAATAGGTGTGGATATGACATCAGGGAAAGCATGAGGTACGTGTCACTATGACATCATGCTAGTGCAGTCAGTGATTATAAAACACACAGTAGCAGAACAACGCTTTATAATACACAACATTCTGGCTTTCAGCGGTCACTTCCTCGTAAAGACTGGCGTCCCGGCGAGCTCTAGGCTCAGGGAGGATATGATGCGAGGAATACAGATCTCGATGCGGAGCGACAGTCGTAGAGCGGTTGGGTGGAAGCAACCGCTGTGTAGCATTATCTTCTCAGATTCACTCATCCGGAAACGTCGCGTACAAAGTGCTACAACCTCAAATATAAATCCATATCATATATAAACGTATCGCATCGTTTGAACATATCGTGTCGTTTTAGTTTCTATCGTGGCATTTCATACTCGAAAAGTAATCGTTTCCCTCAAAGGCAGCATTTCCGTGTTTGTTTGGTTTTTTTTTTCTCTTTTTTCTTTTTATCTAAAATGTCTTTAAGTGAAATTCTATCAATACTGACACTCGAAGCACAAATCCCGAACGGCTCGAGGAATATCACTGACTGTAGACCTCTTCTTACGAGGAAGAAATCAAATGTACCACGTTTGTAAATATCTAATAAAAAAAAAAAACCTACTTGCTACAGGAACAGTAACGTTGGGGGTTAAGGATGCAATTACATTAGAAAAATATGCTAATATATAACTCAGTTCCAGACGGTCTATTCTGAGGAACCTTTAAGATACTTTATAGCAAAACAAGTCAAAAATAAAGCTCATTCAGTGATCAAAATCCTCTGTGTTATTATAGATGATGCAGGTTGAGTCCCTCAGAAGACAGAATATATCTGGAAATATTATTCTCAAATTAACAACTCGGAAAAAATTGCATTCGTTCCACTCCTCAGGAAGAAATAGAGTAGATGTTTCATTAATGTCCAGGTTTCAAGCAGTCGAACCCCAGTGCTGGTGACAGATTTACATCATCTCCTCGTTCGGACCCGAGACACACAGTTCCCACACACAGCAGGTCTCCGGATCCTCTCCGGCTTCACTACGCTGCCATTTTGTTGTCCTTCTGGAGGAGCAAATGAAGAGAGAACACATTGACTAGTTGTTCAAAACTACAAACCAACAGTCACAAAAGTAGGGACGCTCCGAAATGAAAATTCTTGGCCGAAACCGAAAAACTAAAGAGGAAACCAAGGCCGAAAACTGAAACACCGAAAGAAATGATGCCAATTATTAGTACCATTGCATTTGTGGCTATGACTGTGTACATATAGACTAAAATCAAGGCATTACAACTGCATAATATAACATTTTCAAAGAATAAATCAATTACACATTATGCAAATATTAATTTAGCACAATGCACAGTATAAAATAAAATTCAAACTAAAATGTTTAACTTGACCCCACTCAGGCCACCCTTAAAAATATTCTTGTTTGCCGTAACCTGACCGACCCTGTCAATTTAGGGCCGACCCAATTTTTTATTTTTTTTTCCCTTTTAGTCCGACCGACTTGCCGGTTGTAACATGCGTTCAGACCGACCGATTTTTTTTTTTTTTTTTTTTTTTTTTTACTCTTCAAACGACTAATTCAAATTCCATAAAATGATATTTTAGTTAGTATTGTGAAAGTTGCTTATGTCTACAAACGTAGGCTACGTTCTTTCTTTTAAATAAAAACCCGTGGCGTCATAGTCATCTGATTATGTTTACACGATTGGTTTACCCGTGTCACACGGTCTATAAGGCTTATACGTTCGCTTCGTTTCATTCAGTGTTCCCGCTTGGTAAACCCGGTATTAAATGGGCTGAATATCAACCATTTCTATATATAATAATAATAATATTAAACAATTTGTCTGATGCAATTTTGCTATTCCCAGTCCAGAAGAGAGAGAGCGATCTCTCACCCGGAGCCACAGCGCGAACCACATGACAGCCCTGCTTAATGAGTGACAATGAGGACAGAACGTGGTTACCTACACTTTAGATCTGGGATATTATTCTAATTGTATTTTAGATTTCCGCTTTCAAAGATTATAAAAAGATATTTGAGATGAAACAATTACAGACGCATTCTGTCTATAGCGCAACTTCCTTTCCTTCACAGCGTTGCGCTGTCATTTCTTCCTAAAACCCAAACGTGCCGTCAGAATCAGCACGATCGGTAATTGTTGTAAAATGCAGTCTGTACTGTTGCTAAACTGCGTACGGGTTCAATCATTAAAAGAGCTATTAAAAGCACAAAAGTCTGCGCAAGAGACGCTGTTCACAAGGTGATGCGTGCTCCGAAACGCACTGCAACGGGACAAGAAAAGTAGGCTATAGCCTCATTTTGGGCATCATGTGCGCAGCTAAACTATCAAATATACATAAAATCTAAAATGACCTGCTCTGAGATTCATTTAAACACAGTTTATGTCTTAAATGGATGTGAATAGTTGGGAGGATATGGTGGTGCATCAGTCATCTGTTAGATCCGCACTCGGTCTTAAAGGGGCAGTAGTCTAATAAACATGTGACGATTGAGCCAGTAATGGGAATCAAACACAACAAAAGGCAGAGAAAAACCACTCGCAGCTCTTGAATTATTAACTTAAACTTTAATAAGCATTAATCTAACTATGATAAACCATGCAGTGTCATTTTACATTTGATTTACTAAATTAAATTTCTTTTCAGACAGCGCAACACACTTAACTGAAAAGTAGCTAATTTTAGACCTTTCTGAAATTAAAGCACTGTGTATATAGGCTAATTTGTATCTTTGTTTAATTGTATTCTTTGTTTCACCATGTGTTTGTACTTGTTTTTGCTTACATCTCATGTATTTGGGGAAAAAAAAGCCTGCACACTGCTGCATAACAAATACAGTAGATATTTATTCATTTTGTGACTGGCCTAAAAACGGAACCGGTTGTAGGTTGCAATAACACCTAGTGGTGGATGCACAGTTTGAAGACCCAGTCAGTGACGTCACAGTATGCAATTAAAAAATAAAAAAAAAATTAAAAAAATTCATGATCACCATGACCAAAATTTTACTTTTTTTTTTACACTGAATCATGAAAAAAAAAAAATATAGACCTACCTACCGACCCTTTTTTTAAAAAAAATTGCTGTTACTGCAAACCAAAATATTTTTAAGGATGGCCTCATGTGTACATTAAATAATAATCTACTGGCCAGCAGAAAGGTTTTAAAATTAAAATGTTTTCTCATAAAAACAAAGCCGAGCACAAACTTCTCATCACACCAGCACACAGTTAGCACGTCTAAATTAGTTGCTTACATTAGCATACAATAGCATAAAAAGCCTTTTTAATGAACAAAGGTCCATGTTTAATACAAATGGACACGAAATGAAATATGTTCAGTGAAATTAGAAAATGTTTAAGAGAGCGTTAATTTAGTTGTATAGACCCTTTTACAGTTGGTAAACATGGTGACGTTTTTTTTTTGTGGGCGGAGCTTAGATGGAGGCAAAAAGATCCATCTGGCCGCTTCACTAACGCTAGTTAGCAAGTATTGTTAGCTTGTTTTTTAACAATGACTGGAGAAAATCTAATATTATCTTAATGTGTAAGGTCACTCAGTGTCCAGGACCGCGATTGTTATTTCCAAAGGTTATTTTTAACGGACAGAACCAGATTGGCCGACCCGTAGCCTTCACACGCTCACTCAATGCATGGACGATCTGACAGGATTATTGTTACGTTACCTCGGTTGAGTGGCCTGACTTCTACACCTACCTTATAGAGAAACCGATCGTAAAGAGAAACTGAGGGCATATAAATCTTTAGATGTCTATATGGACCTGTACAAGACTTGTGTACGATCCGCAGTTCTGCCGAGCCAGCGCCGAGACCACGACAATGTAAAGAGTTACATTACGGTGCGATTTTAATGATTTGAATATTTTCTAGAAATAAAAGTTCCAGATACGGCATATTCATTGTTCATCAATGCTTGCACCAAACAACACAACAAGATGACATTTAATAATAGTAACAATAATTTAAGCTCCTTATTATGTCGCCGAATCTGTGCTGTTTTGCATTGGCCGCCTCCAGTTTTCACTTTGTTTAGCCTCCAGCTAGCGCCGTGACGTAACGTAACTGTGACGTCGGCGCAAAAGGGGTCTATACATGCATGTTCCCATATACATATTTTTTTGTAATGTCACAAGTAATAATCTCAGGGTTTACTGGGTTTTACATGATTATTTTTGTATTGGTGGTGAAATACTAAAAGATAAACATTGTCATGTGTTTATCTTTCTTCTCCCCGATTCCTAATGGTTAGAGGAAGGTTACTTGAGTCATCCCCTGTGGTACAACGGCGAGTGCATCAAGAACAAACGCCTCGACCGTTTGGAGTCTGTGGAGACTCGCCAAAGTATAAACAAGGCTTCCGTCTCCTTGCGGGTCGATATTATCGGCCGATATATAGGCATTTTCCAAAATATCGGTATCGGCAGTTATAATGACCGATAAATGAATATTTTCAAAATAAAATAAAAATGGACAAAACACGCTTGAACCATGTCATGAGTGTTGGAGTTGTATAGTTTGTCCACCAGAGGGCACTCTACACCGTCCCTGTTGGCAACACTCGTTGAGTTGGTCACGATACATACATTGCTTGAATAACAATTAAAAGAACATCCCCATCAGTTCTCTTAACTTAAATAAGCAGGACAAAATTTGTGACCATCATGTCCAGTTTTGCTGCTGTTAAATAAGCCGAGAGTGAAGCGGAATTAGCTAGTAATAGTTACGTTACGTTGTTACAGTGTAGTTGACTGATTGTCCTTTTAACTTTTGACAATGTGACTGAAGTGTTTCTTTAATAGTGTGTGACAGTTATAGCAATGAGACGCATCATCTCTCCTAGGCCTGTAATATTGAAAATGTATGTTTTACAATTTGCAGTATGACGATATGATATCCATTGCTAAATTATGGCTCATCATAGACTAGCTAACCACAAAGCTAAATAATGCCGCTATCATCAGTCTGTTCTGTTGAGACAATAAAAGAAACAAGTTTCTTTTTAAAATGCATTAGCATATTATTTTAGATAAAACTCATAAATAACTACAAACAACTAATGTTGGGGAAATCTGTTAATGTTTTGATGAGTGTTTCTGAAATAAAATGTAAAAAAATTTTTTTCGGAATATCGGATTTTAAAGCCAATAAATATTTGTATCGGTATCGGCCTTCAAAATCCTTTATCGGTTGGGCTCTACATACAACACAAAAACAGGGTTTTCGAAATTATTATTAATGAAATCTAGAGCTGGACCCAAATATTCAAACATTCGTTCGGTGGGTTGGTATTCGATTTGAACATGTGACATTCGAATATTTTTTTGCACACCTGGCATCCCACTCGAAACGGTTTTCATTCACGCTCAAATCTCCGCAACGGCGATAGATTGAAGAGCGCGTCCGAGTGAAGACTGCGCGCGCCGCCACAAGAGACACTATGTCTCCATGACACTGATAGCAGCAGACACGAGCGCTCAGCTTGAGTTCAAAAACACGTTTTAGCGCTAGATGTCTTATTTAATGCAAAAAATGCACACTATGCAAGGTTTGCCCCTTAATATACCAGCTTCAGATGGGCATCAGACTGTGCGTGCAGAGACTCTCTGCGTGAGTGGTATTTACGACAGTAACGTTAAATACAAGTTCTCCAAGGTGACTCTAGGGGGCGCTGTTCGACAAAAACTGAATTCCTGCATAGTGTGCCTTTAAGCAGGGGCTGTGTGTGATCTCTCTCTTCTGGACAGCAAATAGCAAAACTGCAGACAAATGATTTAATATGATCGCATATAGAATCGGCGGGCAAGATAACGTCTATATAGCTATAATAAATAACGGTAACGTCAGAGCTTAGCGACACAGCTGTCTTCCATAATTCAGTTTAATACTCAATTTTAGTGCCCATTCCCATCTGCTATTTTATGTTAGATGTATATTGAAAAAAAAAAGCCAATAATTTGTGCCCTACTAGAGGAAAGAGCCAAATATTTTAGAAGTGCATTTGTCAACTGTTGACCTTTATCTCAAGAATCATTCATTACCCGGTACTCAAAGTCAGCGAACTCTCTTCCTCCTTGACTGCCTCTGAACGCTCCTCTGAAGCCACTTCCACCCGGGTACGAGCCGAACGAGCCCCGACTGAACCCACGGCCCCGGCCTCCCCTGAAGCCCATGCCTCCGCGACCTCTGAACCCTCCGCGGCCCCGTCGCAACGGGATGCCAAACGTCTCGGCGTTCATCCTCCGCTCCTCCGCCCAGGTATTCCTCCTGAAATTAAAACAAGCTCAAATACATTTCACAAAGTTTCCATGCAAACTGCGGCTTACTTCCTTCTCCTGTTGGACTTACCGGGGGAAACCGGATCCTCCAGACCTCTCGGCTGCCTTCCTGTTGAAAATCACGTAAATCATTTCAGTCAGATCATGGTTGTTGCATACTGTACCAACAGTGAGAGTTTCCACACGGAGGCTCATCTGACCTTGTGTCATCACAGGAGATGTTGTCGAAAAAGGACTTGGTTTTGTCGTAGTAGCAGTTTGATCCGAGAGGAACTTCCTCGTCGGCGTTTCCTTCACTGTTCTGAGTGTCCACTCCCGGTTCAGCCTTATCCTCGCCATTCAAAGCTTTCTCAGGCTTCTCATCTGAACAAACATACACAATAACGCAGAGATCTATAACTACGGCATGAGGAGGCGCTTTCCTTTACTCTCCTTTTGCTTTAAATGTTATAAAATGTGCACTTGCAGAGTACGCCCCATCTTAAAGGGATACTCCAGTTTTTTTGGAAATAGACTTATTTTACCACTCCCCTAGAGTTAAAGGAGTAGTTCACTTTTGAAAAAACTTTTGCTGATAATTTACTCACCCCCATGTCATCCAAGATGTCCATGTCTTTCTTTCCTCAGTCGAAAAGAAATTAAGGTTTTTGATGAAAACATTCCAGGATTTTTCTCCATATAATGGACTTCAATGGGAACCGGACGGTTCAAGGTCCAAAAGACAGTTAATAACAGTTTCAGATGCAGCTTCAAATGTCTTTAAACGACACCAGACGATGAATAAGGGTCTTATCATGCGAAACGATCGGTTATTTCAAAACTTATTCCAAAAATGTAACTTTTCTAAGGACAAATGCTAGCCTTTCTCCATTCTGTGAGGCGCGTTTGTAACGTCACGTAATACATAATTACGTTCAAAAGGTCACGGGCGACGTAGCCGGAAGTACAGAATCAAAATCGTCCGACATCGTTGTTTTACCTTTTAATTCCTTTTTTATAAACGGCGTTTGAGTTAGTTTTCTTGTTCAACCTATGCGTTCAACTTGTAAACACTCTGACTCTGTACTTCCGGCTACGTCGCCCGTGACCTTTTGAACGTAATTACGTATTACGTGACGTTGCAAACGCGCCTCACAGAATGGAGAAAGGCTAGCATTTGTCCTTAGAAAAGTTACATTTTTGGAATAAGCTTTAAAATAACCGATCGTTTCGCATGATAAGACCCTTATTCATCGTCTGGTGTCGTTTAAAGACATTTGAAGCTGCATCTGTAACTGTTATTAACTGTCTTTTGGACCTTGAACCGTTTGGTTCCCATGGAAGTCCATTATAAGGAGAAAAATCCTGGAATGTTTTCATCTAAAACCTAAATTTCTTTTCGACTGAGGAAAGAAAGACATGGACATCTTGGATGACATGGGGGTGAGTAAATTATTAGCAAAAGTTTTTTCAAAAGTGAACTAATCCTTTAAGCAGTTGAGTTTTACCGTTTTCGAATCCATTTAGCTGATTTTATGATATTTAGAAGCATATCAGTAACCAGACAGTTTCTGGTCTCATTGACTTCCATAGTAGGAAAAAAATATATACTATGGAAGTCAATGAGACCAGAAACTGTCTGGTTACTGATATTCTTATATATATATATATATATATATATATATATATATATATATATATATATATATATATATATATATATATATATATATATATAAAAATGTCTGAATACATTCGAAAATGGTAAAACCCAAATGTTTAACTCTGGGGAGTGGTAAAATGAGCCTATTTCCAAAAAAAAAAAAAAAAAAAAAAAACTGGAGTATCCCTTTAATACTATGGAAAAGCACTGTACTTGAACTAATATGATATTAATGAAATAAAAGGCCACTTAGAGACACTCATGTTTCACGTGATGGTTTCTGAACACTGAACAAAAGTGCACTTCATAATGTCAAATTAGTATTGAAATTAGACTATTTTCCTAATTGTTTTAATATTTATTGCTTTAAAGTACACTTACTTTATGCATTGACTAACATACTACAGCACAAGAACTTGATTATAATTGTAACTGTAGTGTTATTCGATAATACATTTAAAGTAAATATATTAATATGTACTAATTGCACGATCGTTATAAATGTGTAATTAGTTAAATACAAGACACACAAGCTTCAACAAATTACACTTAAGTATGTTTAGTTTGGCATAAATGTTAAACCACATTTAACACCGTGGGGAAAAAATGTTATTACAAAAAGCCCCAAAAAGGTCAAGAACTCACTGCATTTACCAAATTTAAACTAATACACTTTCCTTGTAATTAACAAGCATATAGGTGTCCAAAAACATTACACGGTTTACAGTTAACATACTTTTCTCTAATAGATAAAGCGGATCTGGTTTGCACCTTTCAGCTTGAGTTTGCTCTGGAACTCCATGTCAATCTCGTCTTTGTTGAACTGAGCATTGGCGCTCTCAAAGTCAAAGTCTTTGTCAAACTTCATTGGTCCTTCTCTGCGCACAGGGAACCGACCTCGACCCCGATGACCTGCGGCGCGCCCGCGGCGAGCAGCAGGATGGCCACCAGCTGAACACACACAAACACTGGGTTATTGCTCAACAAAACATGTCGTCATTAATGTGGGCCATATATGAAGTAAAAAATAAATCAAGATCTGAAAACAAAGCATCCATTCCAAGCATGCTTTATGATGTTCAGTTGCTAGAAATATAAAAGGAAGTCTATTAGCACCTCACAGAGGCCTTGACAGACATTTGCTACATTTAGTTGTTGGTGTAAAGAAAAATGCAGAAGTTGTATACTGAAGAGGAGGTACATCAAACCGATTACTATGAAAGTAAACAAATACGGCCTGTGTGAAGTATCGACACAGAGCAGTGCAAACACATCTTCTACTGTGTCTAGGGGGTAGAAAGCCCTCAAAACAGCTTTTTTCAAGCCGTAAAACATTGAAAGGTTTAGTGACGGGTAAAAACAGCGTTTTGAGTGAATCTCATGAAAAAAACTCAGGCATGCAAAATAAATAATTAGGGCCCTATGATTTCTGCGATCACGGAATCGTGGGCGGAATTGGCAAATTAACGTGGAATCTGGGTGTTAACGTGGAATTTCGTTGAATTCTAAATATTTGGTTTGAAATTCTGTTGTGTGCGAGAAGAACGTATGTCTGGTGAAAATTCAGACCGGGGGAAGCAAATCTGGGCGACACAACCATAGATATCTATATAAAGGCTAGATATCTCGTCCACACTGCTGGCCAATGGAGGTCGACGTCTGCACCTGGCGGCCATCTTGTCACAGGCAGCTCGCTCACTCGTAACATTGTGTTAATGGTGCATGTACTATTTAAATGACCATAACTTGCTCAATTTTCTACCGATTTTCAAACGGTTTTTGTTATAAACGTCAGTGATGTAGTTATGACACTGCATACTTATGAATAAAAAGTGTATAAATAAATAATCATGCAGATAATTATAGCCACGTTAATAACGTTTGTAAGAAACCAAACCGTTTGTAAATCCGTCAAGATTTCAACGAGATAATTTAGTATTTGTGTTCGTGCTGACCACTCATCTTACATCAGCTTGTCTGTGACAAGATGGCCGCCGGTGATGACGATGGAAACTCCGCCGTAACACATCTAGCCTTTATATACATATCTATGGACACAACCCCCCACCCCGTCATTTCAACTCCGATGACGAAATCAAAACAATGAAAGCATGGCGAAGCGGCTCTCCACGGCTCTGCTTTCGTCTTTATATAAAGGAGAACTCCGGAGCACAATGAACATTTGGTCTAATAACACATCGGTACCTAGTCAATCGTTCTCTGAGATTTGTTTTCATGATAAATTGAATGTAAAGAGTTTTATCTCTAAAAACTGTTTAGCGTATAATGCTAGTAATGGGGGCATTTACTAAGGTAAAAGAAATCGCTAGTTTATACCACTAACAAGGCTCAAAATAGCCCCACACTAACACAGTAACATAATGAGGGTCCATACATGCAAAACGAAGCATTGAGAACTGTGCAAGTGTACAAACAGTTTAATAAGAAGATACTTTATGAAGACAGTCCACTTCGTTTATACAGACAGGAGCCATCTTTGGAAAACAGTCTCGACAAGTCGAACCACGAACAACGTTCATACGGTTCAGAAGTTCGCTGAACTTCATACAGTTCAGCTCACTTAGCACGTCACGTCGTTCGTGGTTCAACCACTCGACTCGGGATAGATTCACAACTCCTTAATAAGCTTCCTCTCAGCGCAATTTCAGGATTGTATGGACGTAATATTTTCTTTCTTCTCTTTTCAATAAGAGAGAGGACAACAAAATCATCCTCACTGCTTGACGAATCCATTTTGTATTTTTGCGTTTTTTTTCCCGCAAAGGTTTAATAAATGCGCATCGGACTCAGTGTGCAAGGTTTCTGTGCGTGATGAATTTTTAGGCTGACGAACACGAAAAATTCGTACTCGGTGTGCAATGGCCTTTACTGTGTTATTTTGAGCCTTGTTAGCGGTATAAACTAGCGTTATACGCTAAACAGTTTAGAGATAAAACTGTTTACATTCAATTATCATGAAAACAAATCTCAGAGAACGATTGACTAGGTACCGATGTTTTATTAGACCAAAGGTTCATTTTACGCCGGAGTTCTCCTTTAAGAAACTCAAAGTTATAAGCCGTCAGTGCCGAGCCAAGCAGTTCGCAAGTGACTTTAATGCAGCGTTTCCCACACAGACTAATTCGCCGCCACATATTGTGTTTTGTTTATTTCTTTAACACTATTTAAAACATGCAGCGTATTCTTTCAGTTGTTTTCAGCGTGGGAAAAGAAAAACAGCGTATTCTCCGTCTCTACTCACGCCAGGCGTCTCACACACACACACACCGCGTCAGTTTATGAGGCGCCAGACTGGACAAAAGCGAAGCGAACTCCGTGAGCGAGAGAGTGTGACTTTATTTAAATTTAGATAAACTAATATAATTTATTTTCCTGGACAGTTTAAAGCTCATTTTAAAGAGTGCAGTGTTATTCTAAATCATGCAGTATTTGTCCTGAAAAGGCTACTGAGTAAATGTCTGTTACCTCAATACATTTAAGGTCATTCCTATTTTATTTGTATACATTTTAATCATTAGTTTAAAAAGCACACTCTTTTTAGGACAAAAAACAAAAAGAATTCCCAAAAATTAAAATGGAAAAAACGAAACTTGGGAAAAAAATAAAACTGATTTCATAGGGCCCTAATCTGCTTAATGTACTTTATGCCTTTTTTTTCCTCCCTTTTGATTTTGGGGTGAAGCATGTTCTCATCAGGATGCATGAGATTCACCCTTTCCAGTTCTGATCAATGCAGAAAGCTTGCTAAAAAGTCATTGTATATGGACAGAAGTGAATACAGACGGGCGAAGCTCTTATAGGAATCATGCAGTTTTAGCGTCAAACGGCACAGCATTGATGTCTTTCAGCAGAGGTGTGTTAACCTGCGAGCCGTTTAGCCGCGTCCCCGTCGCCTCCTCTGGACTCTGGTTCGCTTGGTTTCGGGACATCAGTACCTGGGAGAGTATAGCTCTTCAGGACTATGACACATTAAGCTTTACCAAATCCGTGTAGCAGAAGCTGTTTTAACACTAGCATTGCTCAAACGGTGTTCTCTATTCTATTGATTTATTTTTTTCTGAAGCACTATTAAAAGGCCTGGAAAATGATTGGCTATCCAGAACCCATCAAGTTTGTCAAGACACCAACAGCCCCAAGTCAAAGGCTGTGTCTTAACTAAACTACCTGGACAGCATTATGGGGCATTAGAGGGCCAAATATTATTACAATATTACGACAGGCCCGTTCACACCAAGAACGATAACAACAAAGTTATCTATGACGAGAACTATATTAGCATCCACACCAGCAGACTATATTGTTCGGTTTTGCCGTCCGCCGCTTCAAAAGCTCTTTCAAGTTGAGTGGATTTATACGGTTCATTAACTGGAAACAAATTTCTGAAAGTGATTCCAAGAATATAATTTCTCTGTGCCATTGATGTAGAATGGACTCTTTTACATCTGGAATTATTTTAAGAACTATAGGATCTATCGTTATCTTTGTAGTTATAGTTCTCTGTGTGTAAACGGACCTGAAGGGCCTAACGTTCTTAATGTTAAAACAACAGTTCGGCTAGACTGGCATGAAATTAAATTACCTTGGATGTTAAAACATGTTCTCCAAACTAGGAGTTAAGGGCCACTCACACCAAGAACGATAACTATAATAAAAATGAGGTATTAGGATGCGATCAAATCGTCATGAGCTCAGGAATCAGAGGAAAAGGGAATTTTGTTGATAGACCTTATGGTTCAAAAGTTATTAGCATAATAAAAGTGAAATTTTGGACAGATGGTGGCGCTAGAGGGATTGAGTTGGAGACTCCAAATTTGCTATGAAGACTTTTCAGACTGTCCTCTATCAGTGTACCAAATTTCATAACTTTCCAGCAATCGGTTCTATGGGCTGCCATAGACACCCAGTCGGAAGAAGAAGAAGAAGAACTAGAACAGATACAATAGGTGCCTCCGCACCATCAGTGCTTGGCCCCTAACTATATCTGCGTCCACACCAACGAACGACAACGGTCTGTTTATTCTAAGCTCATGCGGTGTGGTTTCAAAGTGCGTAGAACGTGTTTGAACATGTTTTTGCTGTTCTTGTTGCAATTACACAACTTTAACCAGCAGATGTCCTCATGCTATGCTTTGAGTGAAGCTAGTGTAATCGAGCTAATAATCTAAAGGCCCGTACACACCTGGAAGAAAATATCAGCGTTTTTCAATGCGTTTTTTGTGTTCACACCCAAGGGATTTTTGCTGACGACGAGCCGAGTGAACATGCAAATTCATTCCCTGACATTAGAGGGCGCCGATTTGCTCTGCAATACCACTCCATACAGTTCTCTTTTATCAAGATGGTCGTAGTCACTGTCGCGTTTATCATATCGTTCTTTATGTTCTAGCACCAAACAGACCAGCAGCTCTACATTCAACTTGCCTCGCATCGTTCTCGTCTTATTTCTTCCTGGCGGTGTAGACGGCGACGCTACTTGGCGTAGATCTTCTTCTCCGTTATGTATGTGTGCTCGGCAAGACCGTTTTGTGTTTGAGTGCCCCAAAGTTGTGTTTTACTGTAACTTCAGAAGCTCCAAACACGTGAATATAAGCGCCAATCTCATTCGTAGGATAGTTTGACGCAGCACGTCAAACTAAAAAAAAATGAACCCGAGGCGTTTGTTTTTAAAAATGAGGCTTTTACGAGTGGCGTTTTACGTGCCGGTGTGCACACTCACATTGGCGCCATTTGTTTAGTCACGAGGCGTTAAACGTCGGCATATAACGTGCGTGAAATTCGTCCCGGTAAACAGGCCTTAACGGTGACTTTAGCTGACGTAGTCAATATAGTGAAATAAAAACACCTAGTCTTTTTGCACTGAACTTCAAAAAAAGCAAGACAATGTTGTCGAAACGAGTGCTGGACACCTGAGGTAATACTTCTGCTGGAAAACGACTGTTTTTCACATCCATTTTATTGAATAGAGGCTTGACTTAAACAGTGGTGGACCTCAGAGATGAACTGCTCCGCAATGTTGTCTGCCTTTTTAAATGCGCAAACCCGTAAATTAGAATGGCTTCTGATCGGCTGTTAGTGTTTTATCTTTCAAAAGCTTTAGTTTTTATCAACGAAATCGTTCTTTGTTTCTCAATATCGTTGTAGCTGTGGATTGAACGCTGCTATTCTTTAATATTGAGATCTAGTTCTAAACAATTTTCTTTTCAAGCTTTTTCAAACTAACCTTTTCAAAGTTCTAAACATAAAAAGATCTAGTTCTAAACAATTTTTAGAACTAGATCTTTATCGTCCTTGGTGTGAACGGGCCTTGAGACTCAAATACATGCTTCACTATTGCTACATGGCAGATGAAGTCTGGAGTGGGAATCCCCAAGTCGACACTTCCCACTTTCGATCTGACTGTGTTGGCCAATCACAGAGCACAAGAGGGTGCCATGACTCATTTCATGTTCTGTAGGACAGTTCACAAACCAATGGGCACAAACTCTTTGTTGAGCATTTGGAAATGTTGTAACGCTGAACTGCAACAGCCAAAATGTTTCCTCACCCCTCATCTGCTCGGCGAGGTCCACAGGCATCTGGGTGTTGGTGGAGGCTGCACGAGTTGACACGGGGCTCTTGCGGCCCAATGTCGTGAGGGCAGTGGTGACCGCAGGTGCGGATGGGGCAGAAGGCTCCACTGGAGAGCTTTTTCGGAGAGCGTCCAGAGACGGACTGGTGTGACCTGCATCACAGAAATGGCAAGACATAAGATAAAGTGACAAAATCGGACAGTTCACAGCCACAAATGTTAAGAACCGCAGCCACCCTGACCAGGAAATCAGTGCCGGTTAGAAGACAAAATCTGGTGAATTGTGTTAAAAACAGAGATCATAATCCAGTCACACACACATTCAGTTATAAATATTAATTGGAGAAATGTTAAATCAGTATTTAACACAGCAGCTGAATAAAGTAGTAGCAGAGAGCTTAATCAAGTTTGGTACACCGAGTTCAGGAGCGACAACAGAAAGCGTCAGGTGATAACCACACTTTTATCGAGTGTGCAGTCTCTGCACAGAATCAAACTGAAGAAATAGTTATTGCAGTTGAGTCACCCCCACATTTTTAAGTTTGGCTAAGTTCTGACCTAGAGGAACTACAAAGATCAAAGACATAGGTTGACATTTCCACACAAACATGGTGGAAGTGGCTTCCTAGTCAGTCCCTCCAGAAAAACGCGATTATGCGATCGCTGAATTCAATGCAAAATCAGCCAAAGTCCGCATATTTATGCGGGGGCCGCATTTCTTTAAAATACGCCGCACTTTCGCCGCATAAATTGCCGATTTCGTTGCAAAATATGCGGGGTTTGCATAATTTCATAATCCTCGCATTTTCGTTGCAAAAAAAGTCACATGATGTATTTTAGCAGAAAGTAAAAAAATGTTCCGTTTGCTTCACACAAGAGCAGCCATTTCCCCCTGTTTCCATGGGAACGTTATGAAGTGACGCAATTACGCGACGCCAGACAGACTCACGGAGGCGATTGACATCTCACAAATCGAACTCGTATAACTGTCTGTCACACGTTCTACCGTCACATCGTTACTTAATAAACAACATAAGATAAAAGAAGTAGCATCAAACAGAAATGACCCGCACACATGGGGTGTTCTCTCAATTTTTGCAAATTCCTGCAATTTCATCGCATAAATATCCCGCATATTCCATCGCATTTTTAAAGAAAACGGGCCGAGTAATCAATCAATTTTTGCCCGCAATCACAAAAAAACTCTGCGTTTTTCTGGAAGGACTGAATACTATTATGGTAAATGTTATATATAAATCGCAAATTTTTTCACAAATTTTTGGAAATTACCACCACAAAATCAGTCATTTTGATCGCAAAAATCACAAAAAAAAAATCGTGAAATCCTGGAGGGACTGCCTAGTGTACCGGTAGCTAAGATGGAAGACCACAGGAAGCCCAAGCACTGGAAGACAGAAGGCGTTTCTCAATGTCAAGGAAGGATCCTCGGAAGCCGGAATTTCGAGGATGCTACGTCATCGACGTCCGTCGAAGGACTGTTCCAATGTCGAGGATCCTCAGAATTTCAACCAAGGACTGAGTCCTTAAGGACTGAGTCCTGAAAATATCCCATACACAAAAAAGGATGCATATGTGTAGCCTTCGCGCTCTTAAATCACCCACAATCCTATGCGCAGCTTTGCTATCTTGTTCAAAAAACTAAAAAATGTCGACCGTTAGCGGAGTCGGAGTGATAACGGCAATATGCTTTCAAATGTAAGCAAGTATAATTTCAGTTTAGCCATTTATTTAATGTTTGTTAAACTATTTAACATATCGGCTCAAATTTGCTGAGGGGATTTAAAGCTGTTCCCTTTTACTGGTGATAAACTTTTTAATTTTTACTTCATATAACGTTATAGCCTTTTTTGTTGGTCACATATTTTACCATTGCATGCGTTTTAACAGCTAGATCATGTTGCTATGGACGTAGTGCTAGTTCTGTTCACTCCGGTAATATAATCGTTTTTGAATGAATAAACTCCTTTTTAAATAAATATTTTGTGTCAAATGATTGATTTATTTGGTAGGTAGCCGTTTGGTAGGTACAACCCCTTCAGGCTGATTCAATCAAGACCCCTCTGCTTTAGAGTTTGCGGGGTTGAATTCACTATAACAACCGCCTGGTTATACATTATCCCTTATACTTTATTTATTTATTTATTTCTATGAGGACTGACAAGACAAAATAAGGACTGTCAACAAACAGTGCGGTACACCTGCACTATGATTTTTGCAGCGCCGAAGCGGACCTTTCACTGATGTAATGACGCAATGACGTGCACTTGCTAGCCTGTTCCATTTACTTGTTCTCCGAATGCTAAAGAGGACCCTTGCCTAGCCTCTGAAGGAAATGACTTGGAAGGACCCGTCCTGCCAAGGAAGTATACTTGACATTGAGAAACACCTAATGTCTTAGCATACTTCACTTCTAGCAGCAGGGGCAATCTCGCCCAACTCTGGACTCCAAGGTCCACTCTCCTGCAGAGTTTAACTCCAACCCTAATCAAAACCCCTCGCTTTAAAGTAATCCAGAAGTCTTTGTTTAGACTCTTCAGGTATATTTGATTAGGGACGGACATCAGGGTTCGAATTACAAAGTGGCTTTCGGGGGAGCCCTATTTTCCGACTTTAACGCTTTTGGTGCATGTTCGGGCATTTAAAACAATAGTGTGATGCAAAACATGTTCGTTGTGTGTGGGTGATGGAAGGAGACACAGGGTCGGCAAATGCTGGAACTCGTGCACTTTTATTTACAAGGCTCTTTTACAGCGCGTGGTCGCGCTCAAATAACATTAACTAAAATATCAAAAAGGCAACAGAAACAGATGATAATTAATAGGTTACTCTTTCCGCTGGACACAGCTTTCTGGATACAGATGTAGTAATCCTCTTCCCGCTGAAAACAGCTTCACTGGATACAGTTTATAGACCCACTCTTTCCGCTGGATTCAGCTTTCAGAAGTCACTTTCTCTCAGGATACGTGCAACACTAATGTCAGCATGGCCCGCTTATATGCGGCCTCCTCACGCCAAGATTGAAATTTTACTGAAATCACAGACAGGTGTTTGTCATTTGAACTTGAATTGTTCACCGCTCGGCTCCGTCCCGCTGAACCACGCCCATTGCATTTATTAGTGGAGACAGATGTTCGGAAATAGAATTGAGCGAATAAACACTGACACATTTTTAATATCATCATTTATTTCAGGAACCTTAATGAACAGAAAATCAAAATATATGCGACACAAAAAAGGGTCAGTGTTAGAGCTCCCCCTAAATGTCTCAAAGTAGGCTTTCAGGGGAGCCCAGGTCCTTTTCAGGGAAGCCGAGCTCCCCTTAGCTCCCCTGTAATTCGAACACTGATGGAGATCCAATCTGCAGGTGGACCACAGTTGCACATCTCTAATCTAGCTCAACGATGCAAGACAGTCTAAGCAGGAGAGAGAAACTGGGAAAGCATGGTGGAAAGAAGGACCTTCAAGGATGCTGGGCAAGGTTGGCCCTCCTTAAAGCGGCAGAAGGGAGTTTTGAGAAAACGTTGATTTAAAGCTACACTGTGTGATTTTTACCCCCATCTAGTGGCGAAAAGGTATATGACCATCCAATGAATATTAGTTTCTGTTCCTCTCAATTCCGATTTCTTTTTAACTCCTACGGTGGCCAATGTAGTCCAAGATTAACATGGCTTCCAGTTCGACTTTGTCCATGAGTGTTAACTCAAACGTAAACGCGAAAGACGAAACTTGAATTAACGGGTTTGTCCCTCTTTGGCTAATGTACTTTTAAGATGGAGGGGCAACATTAGAACCCCTTACCCGTATGTATTTTCAATGGCATATTATACGCTCACGAGAATACTTTATTACTTGAACGAAGTAAATATTCATTAATGAGCGCATATATTTATGAAAGAACTAAGTGATTTTAGCGAAGAATAAACTAAAAGAGTTACACAGTGTAGCTTTAAATGCGATGACTTAACTTACACCTAATTAAAAAACAACAAAAAAACCAACACATGCAATGCAAAAACCCTGAATTCGAATTTGTGTGTCAAGAGGCGCACAAGACATGACGACAACGTAAATGACCCGGTTTGTTTTTTGTTAGCTTATCCAGTATACCGTGCGGCGGTGTTAATTTGAAAAGTGGCTTCCTGCTGACAAAAACCTTTGGTTTTTGGCAAAAATTGTGCAACAGCACACTTGACCATACGTCGGTCAGCACACACTGCAGATTGCGGTTGTGCAGAATATTTTGTGGCAGATATATTGCGATTGCTATTAGATTTGCCATTTAATTTGTAAAGTCAAGCTTCAGCTTAATATTCCCAGTAGTGTGCAGCACACACTCTTAATGAAAGTACAACATGCCTTTAAATTTTGACCCCTGCACTACCCTGTAGTCCAGCAGATGCAGTGTGCCTTTCCATTAGGGCTGGGTATTGAGACAAATTTCACAATTCGATTCGATTTCGATTCACAAGCTTGCAATTCGATTCGATTTCGATTCGATTCAATATCGATTATTTTGGATATCAGTAACAATAAATGGCCTTTTTTCTCAAGGGAATCAAATCTCTTAACTAATGCTGTAAACTATGGGAGTCTAGTTGTGGCCTACTAGGCTTCATTAGCCTAATATGAAGGTAATAATGAATGAATCACTTAAATTACACTTTTATTTATTTTTATAATAAGAAGATTATATGAAATATAAACATTTAAATGGTGGCTATATATTTAGCAAAATGATCCTCTCTGTAGTTATTTTTTCAGCTGACTAACGAGTTTATGTGGGTTTTCTGAGGTAAATATGACGATACATTGATTACAAGCCGTTTAACTGACGTCTTTCCACGGTTGAAACGCTGATTGAGCGAATCAATGTGACATGATACGGATTTCGATAAGTTGTACTCTATCTTTAACACTTTCAGACGCTCATTCATGTTTATTTGGCGCTGTAACTGGTATTATTAAGCCGGAAGAGAGATCAGCGCTGCTGCTTCTCCAGAGCGATCTCACGCCACAGCGCCAAAACTCTATTTATGTTTTTGAATTTCTAAAGAAAATGGACGTAATTTGAAAATTGAGGCTTTGTTTCATATCAATAGTAACAAAGGACAAAGATTATTGCGATTTTTTTGATGCGCGCAGCTGCGATACAATGTCCCATTCATTCAAATGAAACAGGATGAATAATCGATTCTTGAGACTTAAGAATCGATATCGGTTCGTAAAAATGAGAATCGATTAATATCGAGAAATCGATATTTATTACCCAGCCCTACTTTCCATTAGTGTTCATTCTGTCAGCTTATTTTTAAGTCTCAATCCCGAGTTATATTTCGTCAACCGTATCCTGTATTTATTTCATCAAGTTTTAGTTGACAAATGTCTGATTATTTTGTTCTAGTTTTCTTCATGCTGCATAATGGTTAAATTGATAATCCCAATTATTTTGCTCAATTATAATCATATTGATTGTTGTCATTTGAGAAATATTCATCAGAATTATTGCACTTTCACCGATAAGCACAGATCAAGAGAATCTCAACCAAAACATGATTTATTTGACCTCATCTAGTTTCCTGATTTATTATAGGCTTTTTATCATCTAGGCCTACTGATGAAACAAACAACAAAAATAAATAAATAAAACTAGTAACCTGGTAAATAGTAACCTAGTATTAAAATATAGTAATTAATATATGCAAATTACTTCAGTGATTTTCTATTAAAACAGCAGAAAAAAGACATTCGATCACAATCAGTAGGTTATAGTCGAGATCCATGTTTGGATTTATTGCAGTTCATCACTGAGAAGGTTTGATGACAGATTTAGTCGCAGCAAACAGCCGCTCGTGACCGAACACAGATGGCTGGATGACACTTTTATTTGAAAAGAAAAATCGCTAAACTGAAGGTTACTAGTCTTTGTTTTCACATCGTCCGCACCCCCTCAGGAGTGTAGAGAGAGCGCACGTATGGTTGCCAGATTGAGATTAAGTAAAACCCTGGGTAGGAAGCATGTTCTATTACAAGAAAAGCTCTGACAGGGGGCTTTAAAAAATGTTGAAAACAGTCATTTTTTGTCATCTCCTTTTCCCCTGACAAAAACAGAGTGTGATTTGTTTAGTTTTTTTTAAACTACATTAAGTCTCGTCTTCATTCAAGCATATTGCATGTTTATTTAGTCACAGAAATCGTTTAATGATGGCGTTGTCTTGTCTTAGTTACGAAAAAAAGGTTAGCAAAAAACTTGTCATAGATTTCACTAACGAAATGAACACTACTTTCTATCCAATAGATGATTCGTTTCTTTGGGGTATAACAGCGAAAAGCTATCTCCATTGGTTAGTTATGCCTGGTTTAGATTACACGATTTTTTTTTTTTGTCTGTTACAATAGTCACTGTGTCAGATTACACAATTTTGACTTCTAAAATCTTGTTTTGTCGTGGACAAGACACATGCCATCTTTAACGGCGCGCGTGATGTCATCGAGAAGGCGAAACTAGTAGTGAGTGACTTCTGGAAACTAACGTAAACAAACAATGGATGAAGCGGTGAGTGTTGTATTGGCTGTCCTAGGTTCAGAAAAATGTAAAAAAAAAAAAAAAAAAAAGAAAAAAAAAAAAAGAAAGAAAACCCGACAATGGGCACGCTCCTGGATTGCTGGAAGAGGACAATATGGGCTGTCAATCCTCCAAAGAGAACTTGAGGTAAAATATTGTTTTCTTATATATTTTTACTTTTAGTTTTAACGATAGCACCATCGTCTCTCTTTTGTTTCGCCATTTTTGAAAGTCGTGTACGGAAAAGCTTCTGTGCTCCTATTGGTCAACCTCATACATGTGACGGAACCGTCGTGGACGACCGTTAAAAATTTAAACATGCTAGTCTTTTTGTCGCGAACTTTGCAAACGCGACGTAGGTTGTAGCGTACTATGACAGACTATACGAGATGATTCGATCGAATCTTGCGTCCCGACGCCCGTTGTCGTTTACGAATCCCCACGACACCCTACGTCAAACGGATCGTGCCAAAATCGTGTAATCTGAACCAGGCATAAGACGGCCACACAATGAGGTCAGTCATGCTTTTGCTCTGACAATTTAATATCCACATCGAAGACTTTTGTGATCAGCTAATCACAACGTTTCAAAAAGCGATTGGCTTAATCGTTCAGCCCCGCGGCAGATCAAGTTCACCATCTGGTGTTTTGGACGAACAATATGTAGATGTAGTAGCGAGTAGAAGTGGATTGTTTCTGAATGGCAGGTTTGCTGTTTTGTGTTTATGTAGTGCATTATGCAGTCTGTTGAGACGCGTTTTCTCATGTTATTGATACACTTGTTATTTATGCACTATGTAACCTAATATTCTTTGAATAAACATTAAGGAAATTATATTTTAAGAACAATCATTTCAAAAGTTGATGCACTTTAAAAAGTAAATGTCACTTCAATTTAAACAAAAGATGTGATGCTTGATTTGGTTTATTTGCTTATTGCGCTCACTTGCGCCCTCTTGTGGGCATAGGAGACAATACAGCACGTTTCCCCTCTAACATTAGCCTTAAAGGCACTCTATGCAAGATCTGTACCTTAATATAACAGCTTCAAAGTCGTTTTGGTGGTTAACAAAGTCATATTAGGGCGAATCATCCTGGTAGGAAAGCTTGGGGGGGACGCCGCCGGAAAAACCAGCCATGCAAGTTTGAGAGTGGCGCCCCTGACACAGCGCGTGAGAATCACGAAATGGTTTACGGCAACGACGTCACACGCATCAACAACATCATACTGTATGAAGCTACTTTCGAAACAGGGAAAGAGAATCGGACCGTGCTAGAAACCGGACAAGAGTCCACTCGGTCGGGCTTTCAGTTTCACTCGTTGGCGCGAGCTTAAAAGCTGCACTGGATTGTAACTGCGATGCTGACCTGGCGATCTTGTTGATGGACTTGTAAGTAAATCTCTTATTTATAAACTTGTTTGTATTTGTATACTAGTTGTTTCTATATTGTATGTTGCTGCACTGGCTTGTGGTATGTAATTTTTTACGGTGCTGTTCATTCATCCATTGTTGATAATAAGACCAGTTCAATAATTCTCACATGTCTATAGCTTTTGATTACCAGAGCTTTAAGCAGACTTCCTAAAAACAGTCGTTTCTCTTAGTCTTGTTGTTTTTTCCGTTATGTTTTATTGCCGAGGTTGCCACAAGAGCTAGTTTGCCAGCTGAACTCAGGTGTTGTGATGTGTATTTATCACGTATCTTTAGTCCTGTGTCTGGTTCGGATTTCTTATGACGTGTGTAAGTTACTGTTATATCAAGTTTATCTGACTAACAGTACACTTCCCGACTGTAACTTCAAATTGTGTTGATTATGAATCAATCAAATCTTGATGCTGTTGATGTTGATTCTTGCGATTACCATGAGGACATAGTCAATATCTCACATAATTATTAGGACATGTATAAGCCTAGAGGTTGTAAATAATTGAACACAATTTGCTATTATGATAAATTGTAATCATGTCTAAATCATAACGGCCAATGTTATGAAATAATGCGACGTACATTTAACTTGATTGATGTCATCTGACATTTTGTAATTTTAACATTACAATCAAAAAACATGAATGAAATTATACAGTAGCCTATACACTATAGGCTATTTACTTCTGATTTTGCAGAAATCATGTAAAAACGCTATAAGCCAGCAAACGCGATAGGCAACTTTATTATTAAAAAGCAGTCTAGCACTTGACAGTATATGCAGTAACAGGGGAATAACGGTTATTTACGACAGTGCAAGTACACCACAGCGGCTCTAGAGGTCACTGTTTTACAAAAAAACCAGAGAGTGCATAGTGTGCCTTTAAGAATTTGAAAATAATTACAATTATTTCATATATCCGTGAACTGTATTCTGCTCACACATAATTCCCTCCCCATTTAAATATGATTATTATTCCCAAAGGTTTGCAGCATGCATGTTGCCCATAAGTTATGGTATTAAGAAAATTGGATTTTTCCTCTACATGCAGGTGCCTTAAAACGGCCTCTGATAGTGAGAAATGAAACCGTTACATACGAAACTTTCAAAAGACAAAACAGACACTAAAGACCACCAAACGGTTGGGATCTTGCAGATCTCTAAACACAAGGCTTTATTTTACACTGACCAATGGTTAGTAACATACTGATTTCATTTGACGGTTAGATAAACCCAAATCATTTGGTTTATAAACACTAAATAGTTTGCTTTCGGTCCCCAGGGAATGGTTTACCTTCTGCTACGAAAGCACACAGAGTGTCACTGTTGAAAGCAGAGGCAGCAGCATTGCTCTGAGGCAGTGCCGCAGTCATGCCAGTGTCACTAACAAAATATCCCAATGAACTTCCTGTGAGGAAAGGAAAAGCAGGCACACACATCAGCGGTGCCACAGGATCATCAAATACCCTGATCGGTCACTTCCGCTCAGCACCTTGCAAAAAATTATTGGATGTCTTGAAGTATTTTGCAGCCGTAGGCTGTTACAAAAATATGCTTCTCATTAGGAGTGTCAAAATATACTGAAATACAAAAATGCAACAATATGTACAGTTTATAGTGACAATATTGTGTATTTCATCCAAAATAAATACATTTTAGTGTTTTAGTGTCAGTTCTACATTAAACTGCTACTATAATGTTGATATTAATGTGTAGCCTAATAATGCAACAGGGGAATATTTGTGGGTCCTGATCATGCCAAATATCTTCTGTTACAGTAAAAAGCATCGAAAATAATTCTGTATTTTCAGGATCAGAATCATGAATCTTTTTATTGTGGTGTCACTACTATCCTGTGCATTGGGTTTCCAGCACTTAGTCAAAGCCTATTCATTTTCACACTCACTATGTAATCCCAAATTGACCATTATAATCAAGAGTCACTTTTTTGTTGACCTTTTATCACAGGTCTTGGAGTATCGCAATAATATGGTCTCGTGAGATGTATGGAAGAGTGACGTGAGGGTTTTGTTCAGTTTCAGCAGAGCTGTGAAAGGACACTTACCGACACCGACCGTCCCGAACTGTGGCGAGACCAGCGGGGCAGGGTTGAACTGAGGGTATGCCGTGACCTGTGGATGGCTGAACAGCCCGTAGGAGTTTCCCGACCGGAAAGATGATGGTGGGGCAGAAGATCCCAGAGAGGACTAACAGATGAGAAAAGAAGAAAACATAATGAGGTCAACTGGTCAGGAATGAAGGCCCTTGAACACGGAGTCCGAAATTCGCGTCTGAACTATCGATTATTTCGATAATCGATTAATCGGATGATAATTTTTTCGATTAATCGGATAAATTCTATTTGAATGATTTTGTTTATTAGAACTAAACAAAACCCTAAATCAGGGTTGTAGCGAGCAGGACGAGGAACGTTTGAGATGCGAGGTGCGCATCAGTTGTCGTTCATTGTCACTCACGCCACCAGCCTCGTCCTGCTAGCCACAAAGGTATTTATGTGCAAAAGCGTACTTTAAAAAGTGCAAAAGCCACACATTGAGTTTTACTAATTTCAAAATTTGCATTGTTTTAAAATAATTGCTGATGGCAAGTTGACAACCATGATTAACGTAAAAAAAAAAAGATATCCAACATATGTATTAACTAGGGCTGTCAAACGATTAATCGAATCCAAAATAAAAGTTTGTGTTTACATAATATATGCGTGTGAACTGTGTATCATTATTTTTATACATATATATATATATATATATAAAAATACACACACATTCTTGTATACATTTAAGAAATATTTCATACTGTATATAGATTTATATATAATTTATATGATATGTACAAACCGAATTCCATTGGCAATTCCAAGTTGGGACACTGTACAAATTGTGAATAAAAACAGAATGCAATGATGTGGAAGTTTCAAATTTCAATATTATATTTAGAATACAACATAGATGACATATCAAATGTTTAAACTGAGAAAAAGCATAATTTTAAGGGAAAAATAAGTTGATTTTAAATTTCATGGCATCAACACATCTCAAAAAAGTTGGGACAAGGCCATTTTTACCAATGTGTGGCATCCCCTCTTCTTTTAATAACAGTCTGCAAACGTCTGGGGACTGAGGAGACAAGTTGCTCAAGTTTAGGAATAGGAATGTTGTCCCATTCTTGTCTAATAAAGGCTTCTAGCTGCTCAACTATCTTAGGTCTTCTTTGTTGCATCTTCCTCTTTATGATGCGCCAAATGTTTTCTATGGGTGAAAGATCTGGACTGCAGGCTGGCCATTTCAGTACCCGGATCCTTCTTCTACGCAGCCATGATGTTGTAATTGATGCAGTATGTGGTTTGGCATTGTCTTGTTGGAAAATACAAGGTCTTCCCTGAAAGAGACGATGTCTGGATGGGAGCATATGTTGTTCTAGAACTTGGATATACCTTTCAGCATTGATGGTGCCTTTCCAGATGTGTAAGCTGCCCATGCCACACGCACTCATGCAACCCCATACCATCAGAGATGCGGCTTCTGAACTGAGCGCTGATAACAACTTGGGTTGTCCTTGTCCTCTTTAGTCCGGATGACATGGCGTCCCAGTTTTCCAAAAAGAACTTCAAATTTTGATTCGTCTGACCACAGAACAGTTTTCCACTTTGCTAGAGTCCACTTTAAATGAGCCTTGGCCCAGAGAAAACGCCTGCGCTTCTGGTTCCCGTTTAGATATGGCTTCTTTTTTGACCTATAGAGCTTTAGCCGGCAACAGTGAATGGCACGGTGGATTGTGTTCACTGACAATGTTTTCTGGAAGTATTCTTGAGCCCATGTTGCGATTTCCATTACAGTAGCATTCCTGTGTGTGATGCAGTGCCGTCTAAGGGCCCGAAGATCACGGGCATTCAGTATGGTTTTCCGGCCTTGACCCTTATGCACAGAGATTGTTCCAGATTCTCTGAATCTTTGGATGATATTATGCACTGTTGATGATGATAACTTCAAACTCTTTGCAATTTTTCTCTGAGAAACTCCTTTCTGATATTGCTCCACTATTTTTTGCCTCAGCATTGGGGGAATTGGTGATCCTCTGCCCATCTTGACTTCTGAGAGACACTGCCACTCTGAGAGGCTCTTTTTATACCCAATCATGTTGCCAACTGACCTAATAAGTTGCAAATTGGTCCTCCAGCAGTTCCTTATATGTACATTTAACTTTTCTGGCCTCTTATTGCTACCTGTCCCAACTTTTTTGGAATTTGTAGCTCTCATGAAATCCAAAAGGAGCCAATATTTGGCATGGCAATTCAAAATGTCTCACTTTCAACATTTGATATGTCATTTATATTCTATTGTGAATAAAATATAAGTTTATGAGATTTCTAAATTATTCCATTCTTTTTTTACTCACAATTTGTACAGTGTCCCAACTTTTTTGGAATCGGGTTAATAATATAATATTAATATAATTAAAAATATTTTTTTCTTAAATATACATGCATGTGTGTGTATATATATATATATATATATACACACACACACACACAAAATAATTATACACAGTGCATCCACATATATTATGTAAACACAAATTTTTATTTCGAATGCGATTAATCGTTAGACAGCCCTAGTATTAACACACAATTTTTGTTAAAACAAATTTACACAGACATGTTATTTAGATGTGGAGATGTAAACTAAAAACATCCCAAATATAAAATTAATTAATAGAATTAAAGACAAATTTATAAATACAGAAAGACTGAAAACAAGCGTTTGAATGTAGAGCCGCAGTAGATTGCGTTTGAAAAACAATTAAGAGACAAATGCTATAAAGAGAGAACAGAATAGAGGTAACTTACGCATCAAGCTAACAGGCTTGATTTAAAGGACACGAAAAATGACGCATTAGTGCACACGCATTCGCTGAAAACCACCGAGTACAGTGACTAAAACTAAACAATATTTTACTGCTGTGATTATTAACTGCCTTTATATTTAGTTTTAATTTCACCTATTTCTGCAGTGGCGAGATGTTAATCCATCACTTATGTTCAGAGCTGTCAATATTGAAAAAAAGGGATTTCCCGCAATCCAACCCCAAAAATTGGGGATTTTTTTTTTTTTTTTTTTACACGATTCTTACCCACAAACTTTAAAAAATAAAGCACTAATCATTAAAAGTCTAAAGAGTTTATAACTAATTAGGGAGAGAGACCTTGCATGTGTGCCTCATGAAGAAATAGTGTGGCTCTTGTCCAGCTCCTTTGCCCCTTCAACTTCGTAGAAGCCAAAATATTTCCTCACATCAGCTTTAGCGCTCAGCCAATGGCGTCTCTCTGTTCTGTGAGACGCCATTGGCTGTCTTCTCTGTTCACAGGCGGTCCGGCCACTGCACTTCCGAATTATTACAAATTCATATCTAAATTTTATTAATTTTTTTTTTTTTTTGGAAAATCGATTTGACATTTTTGAATCAATTCATAATCGTGATGCACCCAAGAATAGATTTCTTCCCCCACCCCTAGAAATCTAGGGTTGCCCCTTAATAGTAGACCAAACGTTAGTCGCCGAGAAGAGGCTCATGCCCCGTTTACATGAAGGGAAGACGCAGATACTTCCTTGCGGTTGGGCCTCTCATTTACACAAAAACCCTGTTTTTAATCACAGAAAACGATTATTTCAAGAAACTCCAGCCAAAGTGGAGATTTATGAAAATGCCGGTTATGTGCTGCCGTGTCAACTGGGAGAAACAGGATTTTAGGTTCTCCCAGTTGACTTTTAGGTGCTTAACGTCATGTGAGTTAATAAGGTGGACGACGGCGTATTTATTATGTGGGTTGATGTAAAAGACAACTTTTTTCAAACCGATGTTGAAAACGGAGGGGGGATACCCGGCTGTGTAAATGTGGCCAAATATTAATTAGTCAGATTGTGTCAGAAAAAAGCTCCACAGGTAGTGGTGAAGTCATGGAGTCCATGGTGGACATGCGGTCATTAGTACGTCAGGCAGGAAATCTGAGGAGTTATTGAAAGCAACCTGAGAGATTAAATCACACATTTGTGTTGCATTTCCTTTTCTTTAGGGTTTCTCTCATTCATTTACACTGATTTCATTATATTTGAATATTTTCCTCACACTTGTAGTGCTTCTTGTGGTTTAATCTTTAATCTGTGGTTTCATGGGATATTTTTCTCTTCAGGATAGAGATAAGAGAACGCCTCAATTTTTAGGTTTTACATCACAGGATGATGTTTTTAAGCTCATTTTCAGGCTGCCTCCTGCTTTTTCGGACAATGACAGATTTGGGTACCGGACAAAATCTGTAAATTGGTTCAGGACGGATGTGGTAAAAAAAGACTGGATCCACATTCTTGGCTTTCCTGGAGTGTTGGAAGGATCTACCAGTAGACTCACTAGAATACAACCCATATCCACCAAGAGCACATTATTTCTGTTAATCATATTATAAATCTTCACTTTTTTCATTTGTTCGTGTGTACCTGAACAATGGCAGGGTCCTGAGGCAGAGAGCATGTCGGTTTGGGAGGTTCACACACTGTCAGGTCTTTGATGTCACTTCCTCTGAATATGATGTACTCAAACGTCTCATCTCTGGGTGCGATGGGGCGGTCTGTGGGTCGGTCCTCCGTGCCGAAGGAGCGCACTGCAACGAGAATTAGGAGTTTATAAATGAGCTTTCATCCAATTAATTCAGAATAAATTGGTCTTCTCTGAGGTTTGACTCTAATCTTCTTAAAATTTGAAAGCTTTTACTTGGCAAGTAATCCGATTGCATTACTTGCCAAGTTTGACATCACAGCTTTAAAAACAACCAAAATGGTGCTAATATACGCTGACCATTTGCTTTAGTACTACCAAAAATCACAATCCTAACATTCATCTTCATATCAAAACTGGCCAGACAGCAATTCATCATTTGGGAATGGTTAAAACGGTGTCTGGGAGTTTAAATGTGTGCATGATATAGTATTATCATTTGAATCACAGAAAAGAGTGGCAATAAATCATCAGAGATCCCTTAATGCAGTAGTTGCATGTAAGGTATAAAGGTTGAACACTTAAGTTACCATGATAGTTTCATCCAAAATATCACCCATAAAACTGTGGTAACTTTGCATTAGCAACCACTAGCTTGAAAAACACACCGCTTACACTGTTTGAATGGGGCAAGAAGTTAAAGCAGCAACAATGATTGGTATTTTGGCATAAACTCTCTCTGGTTAGCATGGTACATTAGCAAGAGAATACATCACTTTGATATGGAGCGAATTATCCTCTATTAAACACACTAACATGCAAAAATCTTAGCGAACAGCCAGATTGCGTTTTATGAACATGACAGACGGGTTTACTTTGCCGTTGTGATCCCCAAAACTACGGCAGGTGAATAGGACGCAAAGAAAACTGTAACACGCGTATAAAGCCGCACGAGGCTCCAGTGCTCAACACTGCTGTCTGTTTAGGGAGCTTACTACATTTTGAGACGCAGCCTCGATGCTAAATACAAATACCCTCGCAATACTACGCGTTAACACGAACCGAAGAGTCTTTTTGTGTGTAAAGAGTGTTTGCTGACCTTTGGCGAGCGCGACGGTTGAGTTCTCGGTGTCGATGGTGTAGAGAATGCCCTCATAACGGATCTCCGCCTTACTGATCAAACTGATCTTACTGCCGATATACGGCGTGCCGCCGCTCATCGTCACACGATCACTTCAACTAAACCTAGAGAGTTTGTGGAAATATTTATCTGAAATTCACAAGCATAAACAAACAGCTGCTACTGCGTGAGTGTGTTTGCTAATATAATATGGCCGCCTGCATTTTCAGGCCATCAGGCGGAAATGACGTTGAACCGCCTACAATATCGTCTACGTCAACTTTAAATGTTGGGAATGTTTTCTCTCTCTCGCTCTCTCTCTCACTCTCTCTCTCTCTCTCTCTCTCTCTCTCTCTCTCTCTCTCTCTCTCTCTCTCTCTCTCTCTCTCTCTCTAATGAATTAATATGTTTGGGGACCCAAACAGTTGACTTAAATTCATTAAATTAAAATATTCAAGAAAGGAGTATGTAAGGCATATATCAATTATACCATGATTATTGGTTTATTTAGTGATAAAAGTTCTATAGTTAAACTGGACGAGTTTCTTTCTTTACTTTTTTAAATTATTATTATTTATTAATCGTTATTTGTATTATTATTTATTTGGTTGTTTACCTTTATTTATATTTTTAATTATCTTAATTTATTTGTTTACTTTTTTATCGTTTTTATGTATCTTTATTGATTTTGATGCATCTTTATTTCTTTATTTGTATGCATCTATTTCCATTTAGCCTATATATATATTCAGTTTTGGTCTATAATAAATCTTGTGAATGTGTGAGTGGTGAATGCTCTCTCTCTCTCTCTCTCTCTCTCTCTCTCTCTCTCTCTCTCTCTCTCTCTCTCTCTCTCTCTCTCTCTCTCTCTCATATGATATGATAGTTTGATAGTTTAACTCAAAATTAAGATTTTGAAGTGAAAACACTAAAATGAGGAGGCTTTCAGGCCGGTGTTCTGTCGATTTTTGCTGCCTTGTCGAAAAATGCTACCGTAGCGCGAATTGATCACAGAATGCCGATTAAAGTCGTATGAAATACAATTCTAATACAATTCTAAGTTATTATGAGTAGCTACTGTATACTGTAGACTACTGTTTTTATTTTTAAAACGGTGTGAAAAGTAAAAATTATCATAAAATATTCATCTTTGACTTGTCAAAGTACACCTTTTTTTATAGTAACTGAAACTTTCAGTTATTCCTTTTCAGCTGTCTGACCGTACAAATATTCATATGGCAGTAAGCATTTTTTAAAGGGAAATTATACATTATAACAGGAAAATGTACCTTTTGTAAAAAAACAAACAAAAAAAAAAACTGTGAGTCTGCACATGCGCATAACCGGTAAGTAGGAAATCTCGATGGGTAGCATAAATTGTCAGAACACCGGGTTTCTGTCTGTTCTTGGACAGTTTGTCCAGTTGTTCAAAAATACATTTGTCTTTGTTTTTCTTTGCACCGTAATATTTTACTGTTTTCATAATTTATTGCTACCTTGTGTTGAATAAAGTTGGTAAAATATCACTTTCTTGACATCCAGTGCCTTTTCATTTCCATGGTAAAGCTCATATGGTGAAGTTTGAAGTGCTGGTTAGATGTTAAAACATTTCACATACTACAATATAGTACAACGTAAAAAGACACATTCCACATTGTAATAATATTTTCAGTGCTCTGAGGAAGTATATGTGTTCAGTAAACACCACTAAGCTCAGTATTTACAGTTTTTCTCAATTGTTTACACACAAATTCTGGTACTTGAGACACAATGAGCACAACATGAAACTCATTCACCAACCCCCTGTACCAATTCTGCTGAACTACAAGCACAATTCCTGCTTCACACTCACATTGTAGTTCTAAAACACTCTTTTTTCAAAACACTATGTACACTGAGTACATTGTTTTTGTGGAGGAAAAAATGCTACAGTGCATTTCTGTGTTCTGATTTTTAATATATAAAAACAATATTCTCAAATATTTTACACCACAATGTACTGTAGTATGTCGTGTAACACTGGACAAAACAAAGTTTTACATTGAGCACATCAGTGTTCAACTGGTTCTTATAAATGTCTATTCATATGATGGTGTTTGTGTGTCATTTGGAAACAAAATACCATTTTTGAGAAAAAAAATTTTTTTTTTTGAATGTAAAGTTTAATTTTGCAGGAGAATTGAGGGGTTTTGCCTATTGTGTGTTTTTTTTGTGTGTGTGTAGTTCTGAGAGTATGAGGCTTGCAGGAAATGTGTGTAAACAATCGAGAAAAACTGTAAACCATGTGAAAGTGTATATAGGTTCAAATAAGCAGAGAGTAGGAAAACTTGTTTAACAACCTGTCACTTATGAAATTACATTTTATATTTATCATTACAGAGCCAAAAAAATGACTACACAAAAATAAATGAAGCATTATGAATTATGTTTCTATATTCACTAACTCAAGTGACGGCAAGATAATTTGGTTAACAAGGACAAATGAGCAGAAATCATTTTATTTCAGGAATATAATGCTCTCTATGTACAAATTGGGGGTGATTACAGAATAAATGAAAACCAAAGCATGATTCAGAAAAGGAGTGATAATTTTTATTTACAAAAAGAAAGTGTTATACAGCAAAAACAATGTACAACAGATGTATACTGCACAAAAAAAGCTTTTTTTCATGCATAGTGGTCACTACAGTGGACAGCTATTTAAAAAGCATTTTCTTGAATTTGCAAGGGTTTTGATGGGAAAGTTGCACATCAATCTCTTCAGTGGACCCTGGTGCATCATCCTATGCATTGCAACAAAGTTATAAGCCATTGAGTTTTGATTTTTCCCCCTCAAAACCAAGACATGCCAAGGTGCTCCGGAATATCCACCCATTCCTTCTATCCTAGGACACTCTTGTATAGGTAAAAAAAAATATTGCAGCATCAAGCAGTATCTAATGAGTCATATCACAGTAAAATTAAGTTTTGATTTTAGATTGGGAGAAAAATCTGATAAATCACCCGTCCACTATAGTGGACCTCATGCATCAATGGCTATATTTTAGCTACAATTTATACTTATACTGTGAATATGGTTTTTGAAAATACTTAATCTGCAGTAACTTTTTTTGACTGTAAATAAATGTATTATTAGAATGTAATTTTCATTGACGTCTAAAAAAGTTATGTAATTACATAATTTGTGACTTGTAATGCATTACTTTACTCATTTCATCAAAAAGTAATCTAATTACATAATGCATTACTTCTTAGATCAAAAAAAATATCTGTTTACCTATGTTTCTTTACTCGTAACATCAAAAAGTAATCTGATTACACAATGCATGTTACTTGTAATGCATTACTTGTTAGATCAAAATTAATCTGAATATGTAGTGCATGTTACTTGTAATGCATTGTTAGATCAAAAAGTAATCTGATTAAATAATGCATGTTACTTGTAGTGCATTACTTGTTAGATCAAAAAGTAATCTGATCATGTAATGCATGTTACTTGTAATGCGTTTCTTTATTCGTAACAACAAAATGTAATCTGATTACGTAATGCACATTACTTGTAATTAATTGTTAGATCAAAAAGTAATCTGAGTAGGTAATGCATATTACTTGTAATACATTACTTTACTCGAAACATTAAAACAAATCTGATTATGTAATGCATGTTACTTCTAACACATTACTTTCCTTGTAACATCAACCAAATAATCTGAATGCGTTATGCCTGGCCCAACACTGCTCATTTCAGATGAGATTTAAACAAATGTATCACTAGGTTTTCTCAGAAGAGGGGCTATGCTAGAAATGTGTCCATTTCTAACATAATCAGAATTATCAGCTAATAAGGGTAAATTGACATACTCTGGCACACTACTCTGGAGGGAGCATCTGAGTGTTTCCACAATTGTACATCGACAGGCTGTAGACATTTCTGATGGAATCACATCATCATGTTCTGATATCCAAGATACACGAAGTGCAACTTGTATGCAGGTCAATTGCCTTTGCAATATTTCGGATTTATATATATTTTTTTCATATATTTTATAGTTTTCACATGATTTGATGTAATTTTATTGATTAGTTTGTTAAATACACAAAATTTATCTGGTTGATTATTGTATTATGTTTAATACAGTATCTCTTCAGTTTAAACTATAAATGCATGCTGTCCACTCAAGTGGACATCTGAAAATCTCTTTGAAAAATTTGTTTAAAAAAAAAAATCTAATCAAATCTTGTTTTACATTCCCTAAGGGCAATACAAACACAAAGGAAAAAAATCCTGACTGAGGTTATCATAATTCATGCATGAAAGGGTTAAGCAAAAAAAAAAAAAAAAAAAAAGTTTCTGGTCTGTAATCATTGAGACTGCAGTTTACTACATTGTAGTCAAAAAACGTCATTAGACCATTACGCGCATCTAGACCACAGTGGATGGCAGTGCCCCGTCCGGCTGGTTGAATACCCATAACCAGGGCCTGAAATTAACTTTTTCGGCCACCGGCCACTGTGGCAGGTGGATTTAAAAATTCACCTGCCACAGAGACTTTTTACCAGCCACTTTTTTTTTTTTGCCTCATATTTTGCATCAGCCAAAAAATGGTAAAAAATAACAATATTGTGAAATTCCTGTTTTTTTTTTTGTTTTTTTGTTTTTTCACGTTTATATAAAGGTGAAAAAAAACGTGAATTTCACAACATTGTTCTTTCACTTGTAAGAATACACATTTAAGTGCTGTCAAGTAATAATAATATCTCTTAAGAACATACATTTTTTTTTAAATCTTTTTATTCATTGATTTTGTCACTCACACAACATATACAGTATATAGTATAGGCTATATAGTATACTCAACAGATAGACCTACCGCAGCTCGTATGTAAACAAATCGCACGCGGCTGGGTTGATGGCTGATTTAGTCACGTAGACAGATCCTGACAGCTTTTAGTTACAGCGTTCAGGAACCGTTAATTATGAACTAAATTAATATTGTTATTACTGGTAAAGGTACTGGACATTTTCTCACTGGTTCCCAACTCCCAACATGCACAGTTGCACATGCACACACATCTGTGCAACTGTCATTGTACGTAGGCTACGTCAGCGTTACATTATCTCATCCCATCTCACCAACAGTTTAATACTCGCACATCCAAATGTAGTCGGAAAAGGGCCTCGATCGTCTTCTTCTGATCGCATGAACGTTCCGAAACAACAGTCGCGGTCATAAATCAGCTGC